TGTAGGCTGCCGGGGATTCCCATGATGCACTGGGTGTTTCTTCTTCACTCAGTGTGTGTCTAAACACCTTTATTGCTTTACAGTAAAAAGCAACTGTTTTGGGGATTTACCCCTCAGCCTGACATGGCTCAGAGACACCACTGTGTGGGAGCGAAACACAACAGTTCCACAATCAAACTGTACATTTAACCTCAGTTCATGTCATCAAAGTTCATGAAGTGGTGAAGCATGAACTCCTGCCTCTATAGATACGTGGGGCGGACCTTCTTGCAGCTTTACGTGTGGACGGGATTATTTTTTAAAATGAAAACGGAAAATCTCAGTTTTCAAAAATACCCGTGTACGTGTGGACGCAGCCTTATCCACTCTGAATGACATGCTGATGTCCTCGCTGTAGATCCTGCTGATCAACACGTTGATGCCTCGCTCACTCCTGACACACAGCGTGATGTCATCCATGTACAGGAGGAAGCAGAAGGTCAGTCTCATGTTTATATTTTACTGTTCCACATGATGACTGAGAGACTCCCACTAATAATGACAGCCATCTCTTTAACTTCCACAGCACATGCAGAGGACCTTCACCTCAGGATGGTGCTTGTTGGGAGAACGGGAGTTGGGAAGAGTGCATCAGGAAACACCATCTTGGGAAGAAAAGCCTTTAAATCTACATCCTCTTTTGCTTCAGTGACGTCAGAGTGTCAGAAGGAAACAGGAGAGGTGGAAGGACAGACGCTGGCTGTCGTCGATACTCCGGGCCTGTTTGACATCACCGTGTCTGAGTTGGAGGTGAAGGAACAGTTTGTTAGATGCATCTCCTTTGTTGCTCCTGGTCCTCATGTGTTCCTGATCGTCATCCAGATTGGCAGATTCACCAAAGAAGAACAAGAAACAGTGAAAATCCTTCAGGAGATATTTGGAAAAGAAGCAGCAGATTATACTATGGTGCTGTTCACACATGGAGATGATGTGGACAATGAAGCTAACATAGACACATTAATAAATGGAAATCAGCGTCTGCACGGCTTCATCAGTCAGTGTGGTGGAGGATATCATGTTTTTAAGAACAGAAGTGAGGATGTCTCTCAGGTCAGGGAGCTGCTGGAGAAGATCAACACCATGGTTCAGAGCAACGGAGGAAAATGTTACACCAATGAGATGCTGCAGGAGGCTGAGAGAGCCGTCAGAGAAGAGACTGAACGTATTCAGAGAGAAGATACAGAGATGGTGGAAGAAGAAGAAGCAGGAGGTGCAGGAGGACAGGAAGAGAAAAAGAAGAAGTTCCTGAAGAGTGTGGGTATCGGAGCGGGTGCTGGAAGTGTGCTGGGTCCAGTGGGAGCAGCACTGGGAGCGGCAGTGGGAGCTGCTGTTGCAGCAGCGAAAGAGAAACAATGTGTCATACTGTGATATGAAAAGCAATTTTAATGTTATCATCATCATTAGTTACTGATCATCTGACCTGTAAGAAGTTATTTTCATTCACAACCATCAGTCAGTCATATTATGGATTAAAATTATATTATGGATAATTTGACAGCTGCCAAACTGCACCTGACTCCCTGAATCAGTATCCAACACATTTTTGTTCCTGTGTAATAAAAATAAAATGTTTCTTTGTAACTAAAAAGCTCCGTGAAATCCAGAGTGGATCTGTGGCAGGATGTCAGCTGTGCAACAAGCCCAGTTGTGAAATTTCCTCACAAATAAATATTTCACAGTCACCTGTTGAAGTCATCACAACAAAGAGGAAGTGATCGGGACTGACAGCAACTCAGCCATGAAGTGGTTGGCCACGTAAATCAGTGAGCAGGGGCAGGTGAGGCGCAGAGTGAACGTAGGTCACCAGCTTTCTGCAGAGCCAATCACGACGGACCTCCAAACTTCAGATTAGCTTCATGGAATGAGTTTCCATGGTGACCAGAGCACTACATCCAAACACCAAGCGTAGACCAAAACATTGGATGCAGTAGTCTTGCTGTAAACTGCCTAATGTACTTCTTAGTTGTGGTCACTTCCTAATTGGATCAAATTATTTGCTCTTGCTAACTTGACAAAAACATTCAAAAACGCATCATCAGTCCTCTAAGTCCATATTCTAATTTTTAAAATCTTCTTGGGTCCTCATCAGTGATGTTCAGTATTCAGATTGTTACACAAAGAAAAGTAAAGTAACATGCATTAGCTGCTACTTTTCCTAAAAATACTGCCGTATGTTACTTGCCTCATCTCTGGCTCCAGTGCCACACTCCAACACAAATCCCTACCCTAATGAGGACACACATACATTGTTACTTTTAACTTTTACATATCAACCCAAAGCAAAGATAAACACCAATCCAAACAGACTTTAAAGTGGTCGCCACGGTGATTCTGGTGTAAAATAATGAGCATGTAGAAATGGAGGCTGCAGCCTGGCTGCTCGTCAGCCTGTTGAAGTTCAGTCCTGAAAGGCTGAATCGTACTGTGCCACCATATTCCTCCTCAATCAGCGGAGCGTGCAAGAAGGAAAACAATGCCTGTCCTTTGATTTTTTCCTTTTCTCTCTGTCTAGCATGCAGATAACTGAATAACCTTTGTAATTCAACTACAGTAGTATAACAGGTACTGTAATATAATTACTAGCTGGCTTATGGCCCTTTGTGCTGGGATCATGGTACTGGTCCCAGCACAAAGTAAAGGGTTGCTTCAGGCATAAAAATGCCTGTTGGCCAACTGGGTGCT